CCCTGAAAAATGTGCGTTTTATGCTAGGGTATGGTAGTAGAATTCTTTTTGAAACGTGTTCAAGATACACTAAGGATATAAAAATCTCCAACAGAAGTTGCTGTATTTTTCTTTATAAAGCAGAAGTCTTTAAAATACAACATAGAAACTGGTATAGCCAGGTAGCCTGTATGTTTGGAAAGCAAACCTATAGTTAATATAATTCTACTGCATCTATTGCCATGCTGAGATTAATAGAAACAGGAACCAAGGAAAGAAAATTCTTAACTTAGTTATATGGTAGCATGGAGAACAAAATATTTTTTGGTGTTTTTTTTCTTCTGTGTGCCATGGAATATTTCCTCCTCTCCCTTACTGTACACTTGTCCAGATCTCTTCCCTATGAACAAATTTGCTTTAGTGGAACCCCTAGAGTGCAACACCTTGGGGCAAGATGGCTTGTTAAATAGTCTTGTGTTCAGTGTTGCCTCTCTTGTCTTTCTTTGCATAGGAAACTATGAAAAAAACAGACACAAACCACAGAACTACTAGCAACTGTGTTATCTGTATACTCACAATGTTCCTTAGAGATCCTGTTCTTGGAACAAATGCCTGGCAGCCAATCATAATAATAATATAGGAAATAATCAGAATAATAATATAGGAAATAATGGTATTTACATATTAAAACGTAAATGTAGCTGATTCTAATGAACTTTCTTCTTCTTCAGTACAGCTTTACACATATCAGTGTCATTTCATAAACTAACATATAAATGAGCAAATATTTTGAGAATGGAGGACATTCTGAAAAATGATATTTTTGCCTATATTTACCTGCTGCAACAAAATTTTCTTTCACTTTAATTGTACCCTTTTATGCCTCTAGCCATGTGTACCTTCTCATGAGAATCACTGAGGAGAGAAATTTTAACACCACAACCAGCATATTTGAGTGAAAAATGCAAAATGAATGAATGGTGTGTAAAGAGGAACATCTTTTGTGAGATGATTAATATAGTTAGATGAGATGTGCAAATTTTAAGGTGTTCAAATCCCCCTTCAAGTCTACAACAGAATCAGAAAGTAATTTTAATATGACTTCTGTACATTTAACTTCGTTAAGTTAGGTAGACCATATGAGAGGGAAAGTAGCCAGTTACCTGTGGAATAGGATGGGACTGTGAATAATGGAAATCTTGGTAGTTGTTTCAAACTATTCATGAAAGGAAATTTAAAATTCACAGTCAAAACTTTTGCAATAGAGAGTGGAGTGTAAGAGCTATGCTAGTCTGTTTAGGAGGAAAGCTACTATTCAACTTTAATAAAATAGCTTAAATTTTGTGCTTTTAGTGGTCGTATTTATCAACTGTATTTGCAGAATCGTTTCTGATAACAACCATATTTGAGAATGAAACATCATGTGTGAATACTTTG